AACATGCACTAATCTAGCGTCAGCTGTGTCTTGGACGCTACAATACAAAAGCTCAACAACAACAAAAAATCAGAGTTCAGTATTCAATAGGTTGTCGTTGGTATTGTTTTGTTGTTTTGAAACTGAATTCAGAAGATCAATAAACAGTTAGACGAAGTTGTCAAGAAAAGCCCTAAAATAAATTATTTTTTTTTCTAAAGTCGAATGAGACAGAATCAGAACCGACAGAACCGTCTCCGGGAACTTCACGATCTCAAGACGGGGATGGTATAAGTTCTTTATATTTTTACATTCAATACGCGAAAAAGAAGAGTTAGAATCTCAAAAATAGATGAGCGAAATATGAACACGACTAAGCGTTGTTTCAGGGATAATCACAACAAATTCTTTATTCATTGAATATTGGCAATTACTGAGAATTCTTTTACTATCCCTGATGATTATTAATGCCAGTGGTGAAAGGTCATTCTCAATTTTGAAAAGAGTGGAAAACTATCTTAGGAACTCCATGGTAGAGGATACATTGAATATCTCATCAATTTCAAGTATTAACAGTGACATGTTATTAAATTTGAATTTTAATGATGCCATTGACGACTTTGCATCAAAAAAATGAAGAAAAGTATTTTAGTATTCATCTAAAAAAAAAAAAGTTATTGTTTGTTGTTATGTTTAACGTGTGAAGTAAATATAATTTGATTCGTTGTACATAATGATTTCATGTTATTGTTATATGCTGTAAAAAACAGTGAAAGAATTATTTGAATTTTGAAACTGACAATTGAAATTTAATATTTGGCGGCGGCGCGGCGGCATCGTAAAAGTTAGCCCCCCGGCGTAAGGGAGTATAAATCCGGCACTGCCTAGAAGATCTATTGTGATTACCCCTATCTAGTTTTGGTCCTCTACCCTAGACTTCTGATGAAGCCTACGATTTTCCTGACGGTTGACTTTTCCACTCCAGCAGGGGTGAGATAGACCTGTTCTAGGTGGTTCAGCCTTTGACGGAGTAATACTTCACATGAGCAAAGTATGTGTTCTGCGGTTTCGGTCGCATTGTTACAAAAGCGGCAAGTGTCAGTCTCCGCCAGACCCATCTTTTTGAGGTGGTACCTCAGAGGGCCGTGGCCTGTCAGAAAGCATGTGATAAGCTTTAGCTCTGGTTTGCTGAGGCTGAGTAGCTCTTTGGCTCGGTTCTGCGAATGGTTGATGAACCTTTTCGCTTGTCGTTGACCTGGAGTTGCTCTCCAGTAGGAGGACTTTTCAATTTCTTCGCATTTCCCGAGTTCTCCCTTCAGGTGACATTTGCTTATCCCACAAAAAGGCTCAGAACCAAAAAGTGCAGATGCTGCACCTTTTTTTGAAAGGCGATCAGCTGCCTCATTTCCTTTGATTCCTGCATGCCCTGGAACCCACATAAGTGTGAATCTGTTGCCCTTTCCCAGTTGCATGAGTGTTTCAAAGCAGTCCCATGTAATCTTTGATGTGAAAACGAATGATTTTAGGGCTTTTAGTGCGGCTTGGCTGTCTGAGCAGATATATATGTTGGCACCCCTCAGACCTTTGCTCAGGCACCTTTGGGCGCAAAGGTTGATGGCATGTATTTCAGCTTGGAAGATAGTGGGGGAGTGACCTAAGGCTTCAAATAGCCTATATACATCCGGGTCCATATACACCCGCGCCTACCCCTTCTTCCATTTTCGAACCATCGGTGTACCAAACAAAGGACCCTCTGTCCAGCTGAGGCTCAGCGGAACTGTACCTAGGGCGGCTTTTTATAACCACTTCAAAGGTATCACCCCAATTCATAAATGCCGGTAATTCAACACTTCTGAATGCAGTATACATTACACCATCTAGTTGATAGTTCTATAGGGACGCAGTAATAAACTAAACAATCATCTCACCTGAAGAAAATGGTGAATTAAAAAGGAATTGGCGGTGATATTTAACGGAATAGCTATAGTTGAAATTGACATAATATCATAGGGAACTCGGAACTGTCGGACTTACGTTTACTATTGGAGAGGTCGTAAACTTAACTTATCGTCGAGATGATGCATTGTACAGTGTACTTCGATCGCATTCAAAAGTACCACGGCTTTCTAACTGCGAAATAATAATAATAATAATATTAATAATAATAATAATATTAATAATAATAAGGAGAAGAAATAGAAATAATTTTATTACAGTGGAATTAGTGATGAATTCCTCTGCCGGATTTTTCTGCGTGTATATGGATTACATCATTCTGGATTATTGTGGAATCAGACCTTAGATGAATTCCTAAAAGACACGAAATTTGACAGATCAGTTGTAAATCCTTGTTCCTTAAAAGTTCAGAATCCCACTTCAATAATAACGTAAGAAACGGGTGTGTTTTTATGAAAAGTCAGACAAAATTTGATTTTTCAGAACTAAAAATTTTTCATACCTACCTTATATTATGATATGTGAAATCCAAAAAGAGAGAAGTAACAGCAATTTCTGACTGCACGAAAAGTAAGGACAATTTTCTATAAAAAAAGTATCTTAGAAAAAATATTGTCAGGTGTGGGGTTCGAACCCACGCTCCCTTTCGAGAACCAGAGCTTATTAAATCTGGCGCCTTAGACCGCTCGGCCAACCTGACTCATAAAATTTCGATAGTTCAACCGTCAATGTTGACTTCAAAACTCACCCAGCCCAGAGATATTTTATAAACTAAAATCGAAATTATCTACCAATCAGGAGTGGATCTCAAAGACTTATTCCCAGGAAAAAATTAATATTTCACAAAAGGCAGCTGACAGTGCTGACACGGTCGTTCTGAAGGAAATATAGGCTCCTTGTCATCACATTGTGCTGTTGTACAATGCACAAAAACTGCTGCCGAAGACGAAGGAATCCGGTTGGTACATTTATGATTTAAAAGTAAGTAGGTACCTACTATAGTCGCAGTCACATATAGTTTTCATCTTTGTAATTTGGTAATTTCTCTGATTTCTCATCGGAATTTCTTCTGCAATGGTTGTAGACATTTTTAATCTATGAGCAGTATTAGCTTGTATTGCAGAAGTGGCACTAGTGGCAGAAGGAATTTTAATAAGGAATGACAACGGTACATTTCATAATGATAACTATGTGAGATTACTATTTACCTGAATAATCATATTCCTTCGTCTCTCGCTGCATTTTTTATGCATTGTACAACAACGACACAATGCGAATAAGGTATGCTTGGATTAATAATTGCTCAAACAACTCGATTCGTATGTCAAAATATTGTGAAAAACTATTTCAATCCTCTGATTCCTCTGTAAACAAATAAAAAAAAATGAGATTGTGTTTCAATAATTCACAGAAGAGTGAGGTTGTGTTTCAATATTTTACCTCCAGGGTCGGTCATCGTGCACGGGTCTGTGTGGCGAAAAGTCGGACTGACTCAAGGCTATTTACACAGTAACACTCTGACTGACGCACTGACTGTCTAGCTTCATTCAAGACTATCGCATGAAATCATGACATACGTCCATGATCATGACCTATATATAGTGACCTAGCTACGGATTGTCTGACAAATCGGCAAATAAGATGAGAATACGCTGTAAGCTGTTAGCCGGGTGTCCGGAAAGTATGCGCAAAAATTCAAGGGGGTGATTCTGCATGACAAAACATGGGATTTATTTCATATATACTCGGGTCCGGAAATGCATATTTTTCCAGATACAGTGTGTTGAACTTTTAAGAAAAAATAGTTTTCTTTTAATATCTCAAATATCCTTCCACCGATTCTCTTGAAATTTGGAAATTATATTCTTTGTCATGAGGGGCTGATTTAGCCATGAATACATTGGAATTGTGAAATCCAGTGACGTCTCGGGGGCACCCTATACCGACTATATTATTGTCAATAAAATGTGCGCCACTGATTTTTTTTCAAATTTCATACCTTCATATCCTAATGATTAACTGAAAATACAACATTTCGGTCTCTTGAATTGTTTTGCTATTTTGCTGCGTTTCCGTGGAAAAAATAAATACCAATTCATTGTATAAATTTGTGTGAAACATAGCTTCAAAAACAGGGGTGAAATTAAATGTGTCATCCATATCCATAGACGTTAGAATAAGAAGGAAGATTCATTTCCTTCAAATATTTCATTATACGACATGTTTGACACACTTTGAATTATCGAAATCTACGCCTTCCTGGACCGAGAATACATATAGTTCTCTATATATACAGAGTGTAGAATGTGTCAAACATGATTGTATATCAAGAAATATATTTGAAGAAAATGAATCTTTATACTTATTCTATATCTATGGACATTAATCACGCATTTATTTTCACCCTAGTTTCTGAAGGATTTTTTGGCACAAATTTATGCAATAAATTGGTATTAATTTTTCCCATGGAAATGAAGCAAATTATCAAAACAGTTCAAGGAACCAAAATGTTGTATTTTTAGTTGGTCAATAGGTTATGAAGATAAAGAATTCAAAAAAACCAGTGGCGCACATTTTATTAACAATAATATTCGGTAGGTTGCCCCCCGGAATGCCACTGGATTTAATAACTCCGATTAAATATCATGGCTACATCAGCCCCTCATGACAAGAAATATCATTGCCATATTTCAAGAAAACCGGTGAAAGGACATTTGAGATATTCATAAAAAAACGATTTTTTTGAGTTTTAACACACTGTATGTTGAAAACGATGCATTTCCGGACCAACGTGATAGAAAATAAGCGTACGCCACCTATCGGAGTACTTGAGAGCTGTCAAAGCGGCCTGTTTACTTTCTTCATATTGGTTCAAATTTGTTTTTTGTTTGATATTCAGGCAGCTCACTTGATATTTAGCCGTCGTTCTAGTTGTTGCCGTCAGATGGGGCGAGGTGTTCGGACATTGTCACAGATCACATTTCAAATTTCAATCCTATTGTTTTATAATTCTATGGGTTCTATGCAAGTTCTATTGTCCTTTGAATCCTATGATTCCTATGAATGATGACTGAAAAAAACATAAACAAAACATGGCGTCGACAGTATCTGAGGAGGAATCGGATAATTTTTCTGATCATTCCCAATTTTCTCTAGCATGGGATGAAAGTTTTTGTGAGAAAAATGATAGTTCATCCACCAAATCAGTAACTACTGAAAAAACGAAGAATGTGGTGACCAATATAATCAACCGACAAGTAAGTTTACATGTTCTAACCTCCAAAAGTAATGTCAAAATAAACATTTTAAAATTCAATTTCAGTTATACGGAAGATTTACCAAGAATCCGAGAGCTAAGAGCGAAAGATTATTCAATAGTGTGCACACAAAATGCAGATTTGCCCTAAGCTCGTTGATCAAAGACCCAGATGCATTGTATGTCAATCAAAATACTCTGCTTCTAATACCTATATTTGTTATTCCTATTTCAGCAGTCACATTTATATGGGCTTCACAATGTGTGGACAATTCTTCATCAGCTACACTGAAAAAATGTATCAATATGAAGGACCCCAAAATTTTAATCCAACCTATGAATATGAACTCTACTTATGGAGGTTCATTCCTGGACAAAAACTAAAATTATCATCAAAACACAAAATATTCAAACATCACAATAATCTACACCTCAAAGGGTCAGAAGTTCTTGACAAAGTAATGTTCCTACAATTTCCTAGAGATTATCATAAAATAGTTTGTTATGGTCTAGCGTAAGTGTCCCATTATTTAAATGTAATAATGTTCCTTGATAATTTTCTATTTTACAGTGCTACAAATCCAGATTTAGTATATGTTTCTATATTAACCTTGCCTGCACCAAAAAGCTGCAAGCATTGTAATCCCCCTGTATCTACTAGTGATGGTGAGTTTTCTGATAAAATGCATTTTTATTGAAATGGAAAGTGCTCAATTTTTAATGAAATCATAGGGATTTTTTCTTACAAGAAAACAGACCTAATCCACCTCATATTCTTATGAAGGGTTTCAAAAAAACAGGCACAGCTAAACATCATTTTAGCTAACATAATCATTTACTGGGGAACATTGAGTTCAACATGAAATAGTATATCTTGTATTTTCATTCAAATCATGATTTTTTATTTACTGGAGCCATTGAAAGTTCCAAAATTTGCAATTAACTTGAACTCACTATGTTTTCAAGGCTGAAAATGAAAGAAATCAAGGCAATTCTGTTAATTCAGAATAAGGTGATTTTTTGCATAATATGGAGGTTTTCTTGCAAGAATAATCCTGATGTAACTTCATAAAAATCGACCCCCTTTTATTTCAATAAAAAGCACATAACTGTCCAAAAAGTATTTTGGTTTCTGAAAAACTGATCATATTGATGTTTATTCATACCAGTCCAAATTTGTAGTCATGCCAATTTAAAAAAAAATCGTCTGGTTTCCAAAATTCATCAGGTCAGTCAAAAATCTAAGCAATAGCATTTATGCTGGTGCTGAAACCTTTGAGAACAGTAAAAAGAAAAAAAAAAATAAAGTAGGATGAATCCCATTGGGAAAGAAAGAGAATATAACAAAGATGAAAGGAAAAATACATTACACAAGATCTAAGGATGGGAAGTGGCAGGGGGTTATTTTTCAAGGGTAAAAAACTGTTTATCTGGATTTCCGGCAAAACTTAAAGTCCTATGGAAAAAAGTTGAAAGGCAAAGTTGTAGGTAATAAGAGGATCTATTACTTTTATATCAACACTTTTTTTACATAACCTGAAAATTTATGTGAAAATTACCACATACTTTATTTTTATCGTTTACAAGAAGAATGAAAAAAAATTGTGTAAACTTACCTCTTTATGTCTCAAATACAACAACTTTTTCGATTTGAAATATTCATTTTCACCTTATTTCAACTTAATCAATGACTTAATTTTCAATCAAAAATTGTTGAGTCAAAATATCTGCTTTCTCAGAAAGGTCGATGGGCTTTTTGTTCCTTGAAATCTCTAGTTTTTGTTGGTGTAAAAAAATATATACATTACTGTGATAAATGTTCTCAGTAAATGCAAAGGAACAAAGGAGCAGCAGCCACATTTCTTAGATGAAATCCTCTTTAAATCCCTTTTTATTATTTAGAACAACTATTTTCGCAAGTTTTATGCAATCTTAATGTTTTATGGATTTGAAATATTTTACACAGCCATCTAACATGGAATTTCACGGTTTTCCATCAATTATTAGTGTTAATTTTGATAAATACCTCAAAAATTGTGCATAATGATTTAAAAAAAAATGGATTTGAGTTTCATTCCTTGCATACATTTACGATACTTATGTATATTTTTTTACACCACCAAAAGATAGAAGTTTTAACGAATAGAAAGCCCATCCATTTTTATGAAAAAATTGATATTTTGACGCGAGAATTTTCGATTGAAAGTTAGGGTGCTTTTTCGATATCAAGTCAAAAGGTGAAAAAAAGAATACTCCATATGAAAAAATCACAGTCTGTTTGGTGCATAGAAAGGTAAGTTTTCTCAAAATTTCGTGTAAAAAAAATTATTTTGGGAAAGATAAAAATAAAAACCAAAAACTTGGTTGTATGAATTTTTCACATACATTTTGAGGTTATGTCACACATGGACGGTGATAGCACTTCTAATCACTTCTGCAATAAGAGCACTAACACCATCCAATCGCGACATGTTCTTTGCGTTTGACTGAACAAGAGTTATACAGTGTGACCCACTTCTAATGGAAACACCCCTGCATCTTACGTAATGGTGAGGTAAGGATCCTGAAATTTGCTGGAGCGAGAGATATACCAAAAATGCAGTCTATGACCAAGTGGAGTCATCTTCAGTGATATACACTGCTCGCCAACAGCCATGGAACCACCCCAATTTCCGGAAAATGATATTAGGAGTCAAAATAGGTTGAAAATCACTTCGGATTCGGAATCAGGACGCCCAATTTACTAACTATTCATAGTTTTCCTAGAAAATTTTCAGTACAGAAAAATTGAATTTTGTCTCACTTCTTATGGAAGCACCCCCGTATCTCACGTAATTATTGAGGTAGGATTCTGTAATTTGCAGAAGGAAGGGAAAGTCCATAGATGAAGTGAATTACGTAAGATACGGGGGTGCGTCCGTGAAAAGTGCGACAAAATTTAATTTTTCAGAACTGAAAATTTTCCAGAAAAAATATCAATAGTTACTCAATTGGACGTCCTGATTCCGAATTTGAAGTGATTTTCGACCTATTTTGACTCCTAATATCATTTTCAGGAAATTGGGGTGGTTTCATGACTGTTGGCGAGCAGTGTATATCACTGAAGATGACCTCACTTGGTAATACAGTGCATTTTTGGTATGTTGCTCGCTCCAGCAAATTTCAGGATTCCTACCCAACGATTACGTAAGATACAGGGGTGTTTCCATTAAAAGTGGGTCACACTGTATATCTTCTTATTATTTACAACCTTGCCATTTAATTTTTTTCCATAGGACTTGTACTTTTCCTAGGAGCTAAAGTTCAACTTTAGCTCCTAGGAACTAAAATTCAACTTTAGCTCCTAGGAACTAAATATGTTGCCCAGCAACATACCTATTTTTGTGTCAGTAATAGAAACGTCAATTTAAGAGCTAATTTTGGTATCAAAATGGACGACTTTTGTGTCGGTTGCAGAAAAACGTTTTTGATGTACTATAGAGCAGTAGGTAAAGTATAATATGTAATGGAATTACGCACTCGGCACTTGGCGGCTACGTGCTAACTTTTTCATTCTTACACCACATATTACATTTTCTTCGTTTTTCAGTGGGTTTCATTGTACTATAATTTTTTTCGGTTTAAAAAATGATCGACCTGGTCTAATTTCAGAATCAATCTACATCATCATTATCCTATTTATGTGATATATCTAAATACCTACTTTTTATTCTGTACATACTACATAGTACGTTTCAACTTCTTATGTGTAAGTATATGTTTAGCAGATAGCTACCGTCTGCATAATTATCTCAAAAATATTGATCATACAAAAACTATCATCATGTTCTCTGTCAAAGTCTGATTAAGATGAAGTTGCACAGCATAAGGATCTCGGAATCGGTATAGGAGATACGAATTCCGTTAAATGGGTAAAAAGTTGTGCATTCAAATGGTCATTCCTACAGCCATCGAAAATTTCCAAAATTATCAACAGTTCTTGAGTAGAAAATGAATTTTTGAAAAATGTATTTCATTTTTTTTCAATTCATTCATTCATTTTACTTCTTCATATCAATCGAGGATTTAACGTATTATAGTAGGGGAGCCCGAGCGGGGATTTCGGAATTTTCTGGAGCGCGGAATAATAACATAATGGAGGTAACCTTGCACCTCGTGAAGAATTCCCACTACACCTGGGCTCTTTATATGTTGTCGAACTCCTGGGGCAGCCGATCAAATTATGAAAAAAATCGATCGTTGGAAAAACTCGAACGTGACAGATCAAGTCAATATAAGTCATTTACATGCAGAAAAGTGTGCATTTCAATAATCTGACGATTTGAGCCTAACGTAAGGACAGGGGAGAGCCACAAAGTTGCAAAAAAACGTCACTTGAACACGCTTGAACATTCTCGAGCGCGTTTAATTCTTTTGTTTATTTTGAAGGAATTTATTCACGGATTACGGAAATAAGATAATCTGACGATCTGCACAAGCCGAAGTAGCAAAAATCATCAATTAAGTCACTTCCTTTACCATAGAAATATCGTTCATTTTGTTGATTTTAATCTTTCATCAGTAGAAGGTTACCTATTTATGTTATTCATTTCATTCTCTTCAGTATATTTGATGTTTTGATGTTTTGCGAAAAATTTTTTTCTTGAGTTTTATAATTTGTAATATTTTCTTGCGTTCCTGTCTATGTCTCTAAAATATGTAATGAAATTATATGAAATTTTCTCCGGAGATGGGCCGGTAGGGTTCAATTCGCCCGGGCCGATTCAAAGGTCCAGTCCGCCCCTGATTAAGTGTACTTGCGTGCAGCCGCTAGGAACTATATTTTACCCACTTCGCGCCACTCTGCCTTTCTCAGTCTTTCTTCATCACTCACTCTCTCACACTGTCCCCATATCGCTGTTTCTCCAGAATAGTGGCGCATTTCAAAGAACAACTTTTTTCAGGAGAGTGTTTTCAATTTTTTTTCTGACCTAGATTATATCCAATAGGTACAACTGATTGATATTACATCCTTCAGATCTGTTAACTTCAACAGTAACTTCGAATTCTCAAGATGTGGAAAATATAACTTCATATTTGAAAATTCCTGGAATTTTGATATTTTTCAAAAATTGTAGGGAATATTTTATTATCCCAAAGAGATTATTGTGGCAGTAATGACATATTTCGGAATTTGCCAATAATGTCACATGCATAAAAGACGTGATTCAATAGGTATTTAATTTTCAAGAAGACAGACAATTCTAAATATGTCATTGTTCTTGGAAATATTAGATAGGCTCTGTGTTACCACTGTTACCTAGGACTCAACAATGATTCAACTAAAATTGTGACGTTGTTTCCGCCATGAAGTCGAAAAAGTCGCTAGTGAAGAATAATAACATTTACGCCATCTCTCGGAGATACTTGAAGATAATGTTATAGGTCGTTGTTTTTCGAAATGTAGATAAAGTTATAGGTCGTTGTTTTTCGAAATGTGTCATTATCTGGGGAAGCAGCGATATACATAATATAGCACAGATCAGCCAACGTCCAAATTCGAAACTTGTGCTTGCCGCCAGAGCCAAATTTGTATGCGCATGTCCGAAAAAATGACATTCGACATAAATATTGCACTTATTTTGGCTGTTGCACTTGAATATGTGAAAAATGTACAGGGTGTTCCATTTGAGAACTTAAAATTGTAGTAACTACATTCAGTAAACAAAAAAAGTTCCAACCGTCAGATTAAGGAAATTATCCGATCCTCCCTTCGAACAGCATAGCAATTGCCTTTTGTGCGTTCCATGAGATTGAAAAAAGGTTCAAAGAAGGTCTGATTGACATGTCCTTTAGAAAGCACCACACTTTTAGTCTAGGTCGTTCGAAGCTGCAAACTTTGTTTTATACTATTGGGACATAGCCTAATGGCAACAAAAAAGGAATGTGCGAATTTTGCCCTATTTTTTGTCTAGAGTCAGCGGCCTATCAATAGTTTCTCTGTGGATTTTTTTTCTAGGTATGCAGACAGTAGGTTTTTGCTTAACAGTCTTTCACATAAGTAGTTGAAGCATACTATGTACCGTGTTACACGTTATAAAGTGCCACCCACTGTAACTCCTTTATTTTTTGCCAATGAAAGAAAAATTGCAGAACAGACTCACAGATCATTTTTTTCATTTTCGAAACATAAGCTACGTTTTCACTATCTGGGAAATTATACAGGGAGCAGCAAAGTGTGTATGAATGTTAAATAGAAAATAGAACAGTATATATTTCCTCGCCATTGGAAAGACCTTTTGAAGAGCTTTCCAAAAAAATACCACACACTCAATATATTTTTCTTCTTTACTCTTCAATTTATAGCCATTCAAAATTAACAGAGTTTGATCAATTTTTCTGCGTAACATTAGGCAGGGAGTAGATATTTTCTAGAGGAAATATTTGGTTTTCACTCTCTGTTATATAGAAACCAGTTAACAACAGATTATGAAATATTACATCATCTGTTGAGCCATTTCACACTAAGTATCTCCTCGCAGTCTAAAATATGAAGGAAACTTATTTGAACGGACAATGTTCTAATTGAACCTTACCATTATAACTGCATTATAATATTTCCAGATTAACAAACAATATTGAGGAAATTCTAATGAAAATGCAATCTTCTGTTACTTTCATCAATAAACTATTTTCGACTACATGATTTGAATCATCAGTTGATCCTTATTGTCTTGATAAAGCAAACGAGTGTATAGGAATATAAGAATACACTTACATCCTAAAGATATTCAGTTCATCAAGTTGTGTTATGTGTTCATTCGCTTTTTGACTGGTGAACCAGAAATGTTTTTTTTTTTGACGAAACGGAATCGGTTCCTTAATCTTATCGATAATTTGTTTCCAGAATCCCTGAACCAAGGATGGTGTGTTAGACACGGCTTCATAGTCCACTACATGTTCTCAATGACTCAACCTGGGCCTCCTTTCGACCCACATACCTCCTTAGCCTACCCAAACCACTTAGTCATAAACACGGGTCATCACATTCACATAATGAGCGTTTCTTCAATGGAACCCCAATTGACCATTCCTTTATCAATTTCTAAGGAAGACGACAAACTACCTCCAAATACGCCCACTCACACCTTCAATGATACACTTAGCGAAGTATCAGAGACTACCAGCGAGCACTTCGGCTCTAACAGTATTGTAGATGCCATTCTAGAAGATTTTAGTGAGTATGACCTAGAGTCCAACGAATGTAACAAGCCATTCCACGAACTGAACATCAGTTGCGAGCCCCTCAACGTAACTGGCAAAAGCTATCATAATACATTAGTCCAAAATATTGTAGATCCAAGACTGAAGCGTTTGCAAGGCGGCAGTAAGGAGTACCTGTTCTCTGTTCCTCAGACTTCAGGTGCGCAGAAAGCTTCCGAAAAGACTAAGATCGATAAGAAAACGGCCGAGAAGGCGTACGAGTTCATTGAAGAGAACGAAAAATACGAAAAGATAAGTTCTTTTCGCAAAAAGAGGCTCGCCGAGAAGAAATACGAGTTTTCGGAGGACAATAGCGAGAACATAGTACCGTTCAACTCGCTGAGACGCGAACGAAGGTACTTCTGCAGATCCCAGAGCCGCTCTATCCGCTCGCCCGATTTCAACTCGTTGTTTCTCAGCCCTAGATCTTCGGGTCTGCGGTCCCCCATGCAGTCCCCCAACTCTCGGAATGGCCAGTTTTCGCCGAGCAGCACGCGCAACCTCTATTGCCCCTCCTTACGCAACTCCCCCCACCACTCCAAGTCCCCCATTAGTCCCAGGGAGTCGGCCAGGAAGTTCTACGTGTACTCGCCGAGCATCGACGGCGATTGGTCGGATTCCGATTCTAGGTTGATCTTAAGGACGTCCAATGTGTCTACCTCAAGTGATAATAGGTTTAGTAACAATGGACTGCTGATCGTCGATCCGAAAGTCGAAACCCCCAAGTGGATCAAGAGGGTCGTCAGGAGATATTCCAATGGGGATTTCGAAAATAGTTCCTTGGTATCTGGACAAAGTAGAGGTGAGATGAAAAATCGTATGCTATTGTAATCATAATGGTGCTGGTTGCTGTTGCTGATAAACTTTCGGCGGAAATCACTCACCATGTAAAATGTCTCAAATGCTAATAACTTGAATTGGGGCAGAAGGAAACTGGCCAATGTCAACAATACATGTGGTCAGTGAAAAAATTATCTTTTCTCCTGACACTCGTCCTTCCCAGTCATCAGTCACTTCTCTGCTCTTGTCTATTCTCATCTTTCAGTGAAACCCGAATCCAAGCTAACTGTAGTATAACATGGTATTCACTGAATTTCAACCCATTCGATCATGGAGTGTATCATATAAAAACCAAGTAATGAATTATTTTATACTTTTTATGGTTATGTGAATTGAATTTTGGAATTGATTTTAAATGCTTTGATGACGTCATCTTTTTTCTTCTGTTTATATCTGAAATAGAAAAATCTCATATCTACTTACCAATAATACATAAAACTATTGAGTTATTATTTTAGCGAAGGAATGAGTTGTTTCCAACTTATATTCAAATATTAAAAACAATGAGTGTCAAATCCGTTTGTCAAAATTTCATTTCATTATACTAATGATTGAACTGATGATCTAACCCCCCTTCCCCCCATAAAAAACCTGGGCACGGCACTGCTTCTTTTTCCACATTTTTTTCAAGCATTGTCATCCACTTCTGAGCTATGGTCCAAATTTCAAGAATCTCATCGGGATGTTAGTTTAAAATCAATTACAAAATTCCACCCGGACAGGAACAAGAAAGTGGGTTGAAAAAAACTAAAATTTTTGGCATTCAGTGAAACCTTGAGTTGATGATATTTGATCTGTGCTTCATAGCATTGAAATTATGCCGGGTATTAAGTTTTAAATGAAAAACTTAGATTATTGGCATTCTCAGTGAATCCGAGAGTTGATCATATTGGAAATCATTCTTATGTTAATGAAGAAGATTGGCATAGCCCCTGTGGTTGAAATGGAAAAAATGATCTTGTAGTATGCTAAAATTTAACAACTTTTTTTTCAGATGATTATAATATACCCATAGAAATACCTTTACTGGTGCAAAATTTAACAGAACAACATTTAGATGTAGTGCCAGACTTCAAGGTCGATCAAGTGACTGAAATGCAACTGATAGTTACTCAGAGATCTTTTGACTGTGAGCACTTTGTACAGAGACATGCTCAAAAAATATGCTCAGAAGCTCAGCTAGAATTTCTTCATTGTGAAGACTATGACATAAAAATAATCCATGTAAGTTTAAATGATAACTAATCAAATGTTCTATAATATTCTGAATTTTTCATCGAGTTTAAAATGATTCACTGGATGAATTTAATCAATCACCATTTCATTTTATATTATATTCTCTCAACAAGACACCAGCAATCTTAATGCTCTTCACACTGTAGTTCATTGTAGAATTTCATTGCCATATATTGGTGCTGGGAGATATTCTCATAGAATGTTTTGCTGTGCAGTGGATAAGCAAAATAATATTTCAGTCTAGTTATATAAGTGTGAGTAGGAAACGGTAATTGATATGAAGAAAAAAGTTGACTATTTGAGTGAACAATGAATGAATATTTCAAAATTGGAAATATCATCAATATCATCAGAAAATATACGGGGACAACCAAAATGATATTTTCATTATCGGACTATAATGCTGGAATTCATGGACAGAAAACATGTTTAGTAAGATACATATCTGAACTCGTTAAAATAATAACTGATACTTAAATTCGCTGTAAATCAAAGCACAGCATATCAAAGGCGATAAAGTATTACATCTGAGTTGAAGACCTATTGGTAAATTCCTCCTGCCATATTTTTTATAGATCTATACACAGTCAACAGCAGGGGAATTAGATCTTAGATACTGATCATATTCTGTTTAGTTAGGTTAGGTTGTTTAGAAGGATGGTTTTCTCAATTTATTGTCGTAGCAAAATTCATTCTGACTTTGTTACTAATTCTATGCGCCACTTTAGGAACGGCACTGTTGATGCCAATCTGAAAACCTCTACCAACGTTGAACCAATATTATGGAAGTTTTATTAGAGTCCGAACACGATAACTTTGGGACAGCACGTGGTCGCGTATGCATTGAATATGCATATGCGTTGCGTCACATGCTGTCCCAAAGTTAACGTGGTCGGACTCTACTCAAATGGCTTTATTTTGATTATATCTGATTCTAGTCTAAGTCTACTCCGATCTCTAATAGAAGTTATTCAGAAGAAAAATTAGTTTTTGTGAACTCCACTTCTGATGTAAATAGACGTATTTGTCATCTTAACAGGGTACGGACAGATCATAGCTTCTTTCTCTTTGTAATGATCTAGTGACTTTGGTTTTGTGTATTGGCGTCCCTAAAATGACATTTCTGTCACGTCAAATTCATATGCGTTAAAAGAAATCTTACAAAATTTTAATTAGTACTTAATCTTAATAAGACATTACTCGATTCTGTTTTGGAAGAATGGTAAAATGTGCTGCGTTAGGCTATATCAATCAGTTGGATGGCAAATTTGAATTTGTCAGATCTCCAACAAATGCAAATGAACTTAGAACATGGGAAGTGAAGAGACCGAATGGGAAAATTGGTAAATACATCATGCGAGGGAAACTAATACGAAATCGCATACTATGTTCTCATTGTGCCTAATTATCCACTCCACAAGTTTTTGAATGCATTTCAGTAGAAAAGTTTTGATGAAAGCGGAGGAGGAGGAGGAGAGGCATATGCCTTAGCATTTAAAAATATACTTACATACAGAAAACATTAGGTGTTTATAAAAAATTGGAAAAATGATACCCAACATGAATATTATTAGTATATTATGTAATATGTGTTGTAAGAATTATATTACGCACGAATGGAAGAGTTACGCATGTAGCCGCACGCATTACGTACTATAATTTACCTACTTCCATATATTACATAAAAAAGTTTGGACAAACAGTCTGAATTATAATTCTTGACAGTTATGTCATCCGCTGTTGACGGCGATTACGCGATCATTACATGCCTATACTGGCGGAATAAACGAAAACTTTGCGATGTGCTTACTGTACGTAAAGAGCTATTTACTGAGGCTGTATCTCGTGTGTCCTTGCCTACTTTCTATAGTGGCCGTAGGTAAATAAATATACAGCACACATGACATATGAGTACATCAGTTTAAATACCTACATCAACGTTTTCACCATTTCTCAACCATAAGGCTCAGTCTGAAATCAAAATTCATTTATTTATTGCTAGGTACAGCCTAAGGACGATCCTATTTTGTAAAACATATTAAAATTCCAGAAAAATGTATGCTCACTGCCTCACAAAGATTATGCTGGAGTTGAAAAATCAAAGACTCAACCATTATTGATCATCATTTGGATATAATGTAGAGTTGAATCAGGAATTCCATGTGGAAATTACGTATGATACTCCAATGTCCTCAATATAACCTAAGAATCAACAAATGTTATGATGACAAATACGTCAGTTTGCATCACTACATTCATTCGTGTCATATCGTGGTCAACTTCACTTGTCACATTCATGTCACTCATTTCAGATTATTTATTTATGGCCAACTGTATTATTATTGTTCTTTGGTTAAAGTAAAGTTTGCTGGTTGCAGTAGGAAGAAGGGATAATATAATTTATTGCCTGGTTCAATGGTTTGTGAGAGGTAATATTAAAATTGGCAATAATACTGTGAGGGTAGCTGAATGTACAAAATACAATGGGTAGTATTGAAATATAAATAAACAACAATCAATATGAAGACCTAATAACAACTTACATTTTGATTACCATTACGGCGAGTTCTTGTCTAGTCAAGAGTAGCATCAAACGGTTTTGTTGATTTGTGACCAGACTGACTTCGGAACCCTCATATCCAATATTCATTATATATAGTTTTGCACGTTTCTCATGAGAGTTTCTTGGTCAGTATTCATAGTCCAGTGTCAACGGATGATTTGATTTACTAAATATTTCTAAAACCCTAATGATTCGAACTCACTATAATACCATTTTATTCGTGACGCTATTGACACCATAAAGAGTATTGACGTAACGCAGATGCACCAACATGATCTTCAATCAATTAGAGGTGGAATTCACAAATAACTAATTTTTTCCTGAATTACTTCTATTAGAAAGCTGAGTAGACTCCTACAATCAGATTTCATCAAAATAAAGCCATTCAAGTATTCGAACTTCCTTAATGTTGCTTTTACATTGGTAGAGGTTTTTAGGTTGGCAACTTGGAGCGAAGTCTCCCATTGAAACGCAACAGTCAATTGTGCAGGACTATCCCCATCTAATGCTCCGAAACTTTCGTAAATTAAGTATTAAAAAAAATTCCTTGCCCTGGCTGGGATTCGAACCGGTCTTGAGTCGGGACCCTTCAACTAACTTGACCACCGTTTCAACACTCAACATTTCCTTGATTGATTATAAAAATATACTAATAATGTCTGTTGGCTATTTTTCATAGATATGTCCAATCAACGGCCAAATAATCTGCCACGCCATAATAAAAATGGGCGCCTTGCGCAAAGTCGACCCGTACGGCAAACCCGAAACCTTCACGGCCAACTTCCTGTTCACCTGGAGCATCGAGACCGATGCCTTCGACGTGCTCGAACCGGCCAAACTCAACCCCGCCCACCTGCCCCTCGACATTCCCGAGTACGATGTGCCCAGGAGCCGCGGAGTCCTCGTGATGGACTTCAACTACGCTGCCACCAAGCCCAGTCTCAGGGACTTCGATAACAACTACGAGGTGTGTCTGGGGTCGGCCAATGTGGCCCACATCCGGATACACAATTTCGGCGTCCAGGAGTACGAATCCAGCGATTCAGACTGAGACATGAAGGTACCTACTCCAATTTTGTTATGTCTGGATAGTTGTTATGGGGCATTCACTTGCATCCCCTCCTGGAAGAAATATATGATTGGGCCAAAGAATACGAAGAGTAAGAACCTACCTATTTCGAAAAATGGAAATAATTTGTTTCTGTGAAGAAAGAGAAAGAATGTGGAGAACATAATTTCATTTTAATCCTCAAAATGTTGCGATATCAAATCTTTCATTAGCCTCGAATATTGAACTATTATAACTGCGTTATGAAATTGGCATGAGAATGCAAGTGAGGATCTCATAAATCCTATGATATTAATTGATATAATTTGGTTATTATATAACCATACAAAATTGTATGACATAATATTTATTGATTGATTGAAAAACTTAATGCCGGTAATTGAGATATACATTATGAATTGTAATTTGAACTGTGATCTAAACGTGAAGTTTAAAAATAAAATATATTCAAAGTGATATCTCTTATTTCAAAGTGCATTGTACAGAAAAATTCGAATTCACTAAGTGATAGATTTCACGGTTGCATGAAGTGAGATTTGCCTGAAATCGATAGGTTCTAAATTGGAAGAGCCAAATAATGTCGAATCTTGGTCTCTGTTAGCAAGAGCATAAACATATTATGTGTTCAGCCGTTTCGTCTTCCACACAGCAGAACCGACAGTCTACTTGTTGGTTCAGACCCATCCTTCCTAGATGGTATCGTAGACAACAGTGTCCCGTAACCAGTCCTGTCAGAATTCGTAGGTAGCCCCTGCTCCATTCCAGGGTCTGACTGGTTACATTTTCTGATGGTTTGAGCAAGAACGCCTTCGAATGGTTTAATCCTGTTAATTCAGACAAGTAAGTGTGTCTTTTCCCCTCCGACTAGTCCGAAATAGTTGTTTTGGCCGCACTTGCGGTGACCCCAAAGAATTGTTCTGGTTCTATGAACACAGATTCGGTTTCCTGTTTGGCGAGGATGTCGACTTTCTCGTTGCCCTCCACCCCCTGGCGTCCAGGCACCCACAGCTAAGTAACTCTGTTGTCAGCTCCCAAACATTCTAGGGATTCAATACAGTTCCCCTTGAAAATGTTTTTGAATGGGTCTTGTTTGGTAACGAATTGCAAAAATTCTAAGAATGAAAGAATGATAGTTACCATTTATATTTGAGTTGCCCAAACACGAGAAGACATTTCAAGTGTTCGTCAAACCATCTTGATAGACTTGAACTACGACATCAAGCCTAGTCTCAGGGACTTCGATAACAACTACGAGGTGTATGTGGGGTCGGCCAATGTGGCACACATCCGGATACAATTTCGACATCCGGGAATAAAAATCGTTTCAGACAGAGACGTGAAGTTAATACCGACTGGATTTTTTTTTATGTCTGAATAGTTGTCATGGGGCCTTCATCACTTGCATGCCCTCCTGGAAGAAATGTGATTCAGCCAAAGTATAATAATTGTAAAGTAAGTATAAGTACCTACCTATTTCGAAAAACGACAATTATTTGTTTCAATGAAAGAAAAGTTGAAATGTGAAGAACATTATTTCATTTTAATTCTTGAACTGTTTTATGATATTGGTGCATGGAAATACAAGTGAAGATCTACATTATTCCTATATGTGGAGAACCAGCTGCAAATTTCAGCCCTCCAGAGATAAAGCCGACAAAACTTATGGGGTTATAGGGCCTACCAATATGATTGCAAAATGCCCTATTCAAATGTCCAAAAGCGTTACTGATATACAGAGTGATTTGTGGATTTTGACAAAACTTCAATCTGTCATAATAAATTCAGGGATTACCCGATTGTGTTCAAATTTGGTACATGAATTAAACTCAAAGGATTCAAGTGGCCTTCTGACGAAACCAATATCAGGACCGGAATATAATTTCTTCCTATGTTATTGTGAGAATTACTCACCCTGTATAATGATCATCAAAAATCTGACGTCATATTTTGAATATACGGGAAAATACTATAGGAACTTGTTGAGAAAGTTTCTGACACAATTTCAGTCATTCCGTAATAAATTATGATTTAATATTTCTTTCATTTATTGTCTGGTCAAATATCATCAGAAATGGAAATATAATTAATATTTATGAAACCATGACATAATTCTTGTAATCCTCTTTGATTACTTCGTACTAATATTCCATGAGTTACTCTCGTAACCTGAAAAAAACTGAAGAATAATTTCCTATCAGGACTGGAATAACTCGTTTCTTATGTTCTTGTAAGTATAACTGACCTAGCATAACAATCATAATTCATATGTTCGTAACTTCGGAATAACTGAAAAAATCGTATAGGAACTGGTATTGTAATACTCGTAGAAGTTTTTTCAAATTCATTATTTCTTGTTGTTCATCAAAAAATTATTGATATAATATTTTTCCCGTAGATTCATAATATGACCTCAGATTTTTGATAATTATAATACAGTGTGAGTTATTCTCACAATAACTCAACATAGGAAAAAAATTATATTCCGGTCCTGATATTGGTTTCGTTCAGAAGGCTACTTGTTGAAGCCTTAAGTTTGATTCATGTACCAAATTTGAACCCAATCGGGAAATCCCTGTCAGAAGCGATAGTTTTGCTTGTTCACGTACCCGCTAAGGTGGAAATGAGCCTCATCGCTTATTATGATTTTGGTTGAAAAATGGTCCACGAGATTGAGGATGGCTTGGGCGTAGGTTACTCGTGTTTGGCGTGTTTGTACGGAAACATGCGCAGGTCTTTGTCTTTTCTGGCGACAGCTCGACATCCCCGGCAACATCGGCGATATTCTCAGCAGAACGGGCGCTCCAGGGCCGGTCACTCTTGGCAGCGTTTCGTGTGGTCCCATACTCTTCAAGGTTGGTGGCCAAACGGCGCAGTGTTTGCGCAGTCGGTGTCGGACGACCGGGGAACAATGAACTGAATGTAAACAACTGGAAGGGACCCACTGTGAACGACGAGTGAGGCAAAAATATTAGAGAGTTGAAGTGTTGTCATGAACGTTAACGTAAACGTAGAAATTGACAGCTACGCATGCGCATTTTCCAATTCTTCACGTTTGCGTTGTTAGTGGGCTTACGGGTGTACGTTATCTCACGTTCCTTCACGTATACCTTAAATATCAACGTACGTTAACCAAACTATACTCGAAATATGCCGATGAGTCAAAATTATCAAATTCGAGATCACCAACGAGTTCTGCATCAAGGAGTCCTCTAATTTTGACAGGAATAAATGTTCGAATCTAAACACACAACCAAAAATGACCAATACAAACCGAAAACAAAATGTATTATTACGTTATGATGACAGTGACGACCAAAGTGGCGACTTCAACTCAATTTAACGACAATACGTAAACGTTATTTTTCGTACGTTAACGTCTACGTGGAGGTTTACGTACAGTGATTACTTCAACTCTCTTTTCAGGCAACCCGCAGTGTTTACGGATACGTATCTTTCTTTATCTTGTGTTGGCTAATGGGAAGCGCTCGCATAATTTGATATATTTTCTCGTTTTTTGCTTATATTTAAGAGTAAACGTGATTTAATGAAAATATTCATTTAGGAAAAAGGATAATGTTGTAATCAATTATCATTAAAAAATTATAACTGATTTTTTTATTGACTTTAAAATGAAATTTCAATTTTACTCTTACAGGATCAGGAAGTCAAATGAATACAAAATTGAAATTATATATTTTCATTCAAATGTCACAATATATTGTACAGGGTGAGCGAAGCACAATGTCTCAGATCTATCAAAAGGAAAAGAAAAACGATAGGAACAATTTGAAAAGAGGTTATCTTTTATCTTGAATGGTATTGAGTGCATTTTGAACATTAGGTTCCTATTCCTCCTTCCTACTTCTCTCATGTTTGAAATTTTTTGGTATATCCTTCTTACTTTTTGTCTCAGTGTCTTCACTTTTCTCCTCAATACAATATCCTTCTCTAATGAAACAGTTTGAGCGTTGATTGATATATTACGCTTACGCTGGGAAGATGCCCAACCTGTGTTATTTGCGAGTCGATGCCCCTCTCATCCCCTCGTCTATCGTTTAGCCACTGTGAGGTAGCGACTCCACTAGGCACACAGAACATGTCTGAACTAATTGTACAGATTACTACACTTTTGTACAGAATTACAGATCCCATCCCACCGCGTGCTATCGCTCCAGAAATTCTTGTTTATCCTTGTCTTCTACGATGAGACCCGACCCGCCCGACCGGTTCCGATAAAAAAATTTTTGCTACGGTCGGTGAATCCCATGGACAGTATTGATTTTCTCCTCGGTTCCTTGCGGAGGAGAGAAGAACAGATCATATTATGATCTCTCACTCATTTGGGTTCCTACTCCGTGGCGTTTTTTCAAATTCCCTTCCCTTGTGAATAACTTGTCATACTTTGCCTAGACCCTAGACCAATATAATTTGTATATTATCTGGAAAAACATCTCACGCCTTTTTCGTTGATTATTTTTTTTACTCAATTTGTATCCATTTTAAAATTTTGTATTAATAAGACATATCGAAAATAAATAGTCAGATATCTTTGAATCTTTGATTGTTAATGATTCACTATAAAAATGAAATAAAATACATCATCTATAATAGGCATAATATACAGAGTGAGTCATAACTATTGGAACATATATAGAATTCATTTATTTATTGGATTACAAGAGTTGATGCTGCAAGCTTATGAACCATTTTTTACAGTATCTAGTTGTTGAAAAATATTAACTCTTTTTTGGTATATTTGAGATAAAAACAAAATCAACAGAAAACAACTACATTTCCAGTCTATATGCCACGATATAATATAATCATGAAATCGGCGTTGATATTTTGTGATACCAGTAACCTTTTCTGAGTAGAATCGATTTTGCCGCTCCAAAACAAACGGAGTACAGACTACGGAACGCTCAGAATCTCCGCCCTAACAACACAGGGATGTACTAGGTACTTCCCCTCTTTGTCACACGGTACAAGGACATAATTGGGGTATCCAGGGAATGTCCCGCACATCCATAGAATATCCAATTCGTGTCCTTGGTATATCTGATATCTATTCACATCAGAGTCATTGACTTTCATCAAAATATTGAGTTGAATTTTTATGATAATGTTTGGTTTTTTT